AGAGAAATAGCCCAATTTGCTTAAGTTTCACATAAAAATTCGACCCGACCTATCTACCCTTAATAGATACGGTTACAGTAAGGCTGATTTCTCATGATCCAACTTGTTTAACTTCTATAGAAGCATTCAAATCGCGTGGATCATTAGAGTGATCATAATTATTATGTTCAGATTTTTTAAAGGTTAATTTCACATACGAATTTACATGTACATTTTTTTATCTAACTAACAGACAAAATTGCATCGTATTTTTTTTTTAAATTATAGTTCTAGACTAGCTCTATGTCAATAGAACCAGTTTTGTAATAACTTTTAAAAAAAATCTATTTTAATTTTATGAAAAGTTATTGCAAAAATATTTCTATTACGGTATAGAGCTAGTCTAGCACTATAGTTTAAAAAAAAATGCGATGCAATTTTGTTTGTTAGTTAGATAAAAACAGTGCAAATTCATATGTAAATTCGTATGTGAAATTAACCTTTAAAAAATCCGAACATAATAATTAAACATATAGTTCGGAACTATTGTTTAATTTATTAGAGTGTTGATCACCCTAGTGGATCGTACCTTGTGAAGTTTACTGCGCTATTAATTAAAGATATAGCAGTACTTCGATCTCGTGATATTATAAATCGTGTTCGTTCTAAAGTGGGGCTGAGACATCATACATAGTAGCTTGGAGAAGCAAAACTATTAGGCCATACAAAGTTAATTTTTCGGTTTATATTGCAGGATTTCAATATCCGGTCAGTCGGTTGAATTTTTTTTTTAATTCTGAATAATGAGCTATAATCTAATACACATATTTAAAAAAATCGAAATATTTAAAAAAATTTGAATAAAATAGAAAAACGAAAAAAAAAATTAAAAATTAAAAAAATGCAAAAGACAGCAGGCAAGTAAATCGATATATGCGCATGTACATATTAGGGCTTAAGTGCTGGTATGTGCACTAAATTATAGTATCAAGCACAAGCATAAGTGCTATGTTTTAATAGGACACATACCAACTCTTGTAAGAGTCCTAGTACGTATGTACGTACGTATACAGTCGTCCTCCCATATAATCACACAGTTGGGGGGGTCAAACTGAAATCAATGATAGTTTTTGTAAGATTCGGACGTAAAAATCGATTAACATAAAAAACTTTCACATCACCCGAAATTATTACCAAATTTCCGTCACAATAAACTTGATTATCTCAAAAATCACATTTTTGAACCCGTTCTACTACAAAGACCCGCAATTTATGCTGTTTTTTAATTGGCATCTTTATTTATTTAATAATTATATCGATCTGATTTTAATTAGTGTTCCATTGATGATTTTGGCGGTTATGGTAGGAGGATTAAGTGTAAAGATTATATAAATAGGTTTCTTTTTTGAAGTAAAATCAAGCGTAGTCTAGTAGCCTAGTTCAAGTTACATATGAGTGCTAACAAAATAAATTTCATTTATTGGGGTCGAGTATATATGCTTTCGATTACGCGTTATACAATATCTTGCTGATTAACATTTAGGTGGTACTCATATGACGACATATCAATACAAAAAAAAAAGATTAGAGTGAATTTAGAACTGAACCACTCATTATTTCACAAGAACTTAACGATTCAACTTTGTTTTTGTCACATAGTATGCGTGGATAGAGATCAAAAAAATCCAACTAGGGTGACCCCCCGGTGATTTTACTTATTTGCGCTAGTAACACAAACCAAAAAGAAAATCGAATTTTTTGAATAAAATTAAGTGCGGAAATATATAAATTAGGCTTAGTACGTTAACATTAGAGACTATAACAATAGATTATCACTCGTTATATGTAAATTTCGTTCTCGACATTTTTAATTAGTGTACCAGTCGATTTAAACAGTTTTTGAGTATTTTCGCTTTTTTCTTCTCTCACATGTGTTTGGAATTCATGTCGGGCTGATCCGGAATAGTCAAAATTTGTGCTCTCTGATCGGCTATTTCCTTTTAGAGGTTTGCATTACTCGCGAAAATAAATGTGTGCCATCTTCGATTGAAAAAAATTGGAAGGCTTATCAGCTCGAAAAAACTTTCTATAACACAATATGGATTTTTGGGAATCTCATCTTGAGTTACATTTTTAAATAAATCGACAAATTCTTGATAATATCTCTTTTTAAATATTAGCATCTATTCATGTAATATGCTTATTATATAATATTTGATATAAGTCTTTGTCGTGCCTGAAGTTGTTATCTGCCTGAAGTTGGCAACTGCCTAAAACCGCTAGCTAGTGCGTGAGGATGATTTAAATTCAGGGTCTAATTTCAGTCAGGTGCAACTTCAGGCACTTGAAGTTCCAACTTTAGTCGGATTTCAACTTCAGGCACGACATCTTCACGATTATTTAATGCTGTTATATCATTTGGTTCGATTTTTAATTTCTTATTTAAATCTGCAAATGATTCTTAATATTTACCAAACTGATAAGTTAATTCATGATTATTTAACACTATTATGTTATCAATTTTATTTCTAATGCTCATTTAAATCTCATTTAAATCTACAAGTAGTTTCTCATATTTATCGTTTACTCATCTCTTGATAAATTAATCATGCCTATCTAATATTTATAAGATATTGGTCATGCAACGATTAATATCATGATTCAATATCAATGTTATCGTGCAATTTATGATCATACTTTACAAGTTATAAATACGGGATTGATGTACTTATATAATGTAAAAAAATAACAAGAAGAAAAAATCTATGATCATAAGTGTTTGCATGATAACACTACATTATTTGGTTCGATTTCTAACCATTTATTTAAATTAGCATGTGGGGTCTTTGCCTTGAAAATCACCTTACGACATTTTCCGATCGGACTAATTCGGACAAAACAGACAAAAATTATCGGTTTGTATTTATATGAGTGCGGCCAAATTAAAATCAGTAAGTAAACATTTAAACACCGAAAATAATTTATAATTATTTTAGGAGTTAAATTTTTACTTACTGATTTTAATTTGGCCGCACCCATCAGGGCGCAAAATTGTGGCATGACGTGTCCTGATATTTTTCCGGCGATCTTTTTATTAAACGGAATTTAGGATCTATAGCCGGAGGTAGTAACGATAGTTACAATCAGTTATGATGTAAGAAAGTGTTAAAATTTTGAACAAACGAAAAATTTCCGAATATCAAAAACTGCGTTGGAATTTTTCTTAATTTACCGGAATCTCCGGTATTTTACAGTAGATTTTGTGCTCTGGCACCCATATGTGAATCACATTCGACCTTTATTGATTTAATAGTTTATTGAATAAACTATTGAATCAATAAGTCAAAATGTGAATCACATATAAATACAAACCGATATTTTGGTCTGTTTTGTCCGAATTAGCCCGATCGGAAAATGTCGTAAGGTGATTTTCAAGGCAAAGACCCCATGTGATTTTCATATTTGCCTGTCCTTTGGTAAGTTAATCCACAATTACTTAAATGCTGTTGCATCATTTGATGCAATTTCTAATGGTTTGTTTAAATTTGCAAGTGGTCCATCATATTTAGATAAGTTAATCCACGATTATTAATGCTATTGCATTGTTTAGTCTACTTTTTAATGACTTATTTTGCAATTCTTTATCATACGTATTTACCAAATATTCGACAAGCATATCCGCGATTATGTTATTTAGATTGATTTTCAGTGATTTATTTAAGTCAGCAAATGACTCTTCATGTCTGTTCATATGTAGATAAGTCATTTCACAGTTAATGCTATTGCATTGTTTTGTTCTATGTTTAATAATATTTAAATCTATAAATGATTCTTCGTACTTACCAAACATTCAATAAGCTTTTAACTCACAAATTCATTAAGATTTTATATGATAATATCAACTACTTGTAGATGATCTACAGTTTAACCCTCATGGATTTAACCCGCAGGTTTAACCTGCAGGTTGACCCGTTAACCTTTACTCGGGTTGGTATAATCGCAACCCGATATCCGGCCCACCCGGGTGATGCCTACCCGGGTCCAATCTCTAATTTTTGATTCCCACTCTACTGACCCATCCAGGATATGAAAACCGAAAATATAAGGTTGCATAGACTAAATTTTATTGGCTGAAGCTGAATTGATGTTACGTGAAGTTACACAAATTGATATAAGAAAAAAATTGCCGAAAATAATATAGGCAGTTTTAAAAAATAACTAAGAAAAAAATATAAAAATAATATAATAGCTAATAAAATATAATAATAAAAACATTAATAATAGAATGAAGACTTGCTACATAAATACAATAAAAAAATACCCAAATAAATGATATATTTAATTGTAAAAATATAGTAATTATAATTTCTAATTTGTAATATCTTCTTAATACCAATCGCAATTTTGTATTTCTGATTAAATTTATAATAGTATTGCGTTTTCTTGAGTGTATGTTTAAATTAAATCTGAAATAGAGTTCCCCATGTTGCTTATCATTTTGCACAACTCTTGATGATATTTTAGTTGTTGTTGCATTATAAAAAGTTCTTCCTGTTGTGACAATTTAGCCTTTTGATTAGAATTTTGAGAGAAGTTTTGCTGTTGTGACATATTAGCATTTGGATTGGAATTTTGAGAAAGGTTTTGCTGTTGTGACATATTAGCATTTGGATTAGAATTTTGAGAGAGGTTTTGCTGTTGTGATATATTATTATTTTGATTAGAATTTTGAGAGAAGTGTTGCTGTTGTGATATATTATTATCTCGATTAGAATTTTGAGAGGAGTTTTGCTGTTGTGATGTATTATTATTATTTTGATAATAATTTTGAGGAATTGGATTTGAGTAAAGAGGATTCTGGGAGTTTTGCTGTTGTGATGTATTATTATTATTTTGATAATAATTTTGAGGAATTGGATTTGAGTAAAGAGGATTCT